GCTAACATCTTCTGACCATCTTTTGTTTCGACTATCAAATAAGGATATAATCGGTGTGAAAATATTTCGTAGTATCTGAAAAAAAATTAACCTGAGATTTAAAAACGTACTTTTTTGTGATTTTTTTCAAATTTTGAAAAAATTTGCAGTACATTGATAGAAGTTAAAAGACTGTTCGTGAGTCAGGACAAAGCGCTAAATCTGCCTATTGCTCTTTATTTGGCGATGAATAAATTTTGCTAGAAAAAACCATAAAAATGTGACAACATCAAACGTCAATAGCGAAAAATTGAGTAGCACCAATTTAATGTGATCAAATAGGTAGCCTCAAATCAATCAATTTGAAATGGTTTAGTAGCTCGTGATGAATCGCTAATTTGCAGCTCTCAGCGTTAAAAATAATACCTCATAACGCGCATAAATAAGTTGATCTCTTCAATGAGGTCTAAATATTTTCGATATAAGCAAGCTGTCCTGTACTTATTTTAATTTGCTAACGAGTCCAAAATTTAGTAAAACCACAAGTGGGGAGACTACTAGATAAGTTAAGAGCAAAAATGGTTTGAAAAGTTACAGCACTGATTTATATCATCTAGGCAAAACAAACAAAACTGACTTTTCTCAGCTCATTTTTCTCAAAATGGGTTGACAATAGATAAAATTGGTATGAACAGAAGTTGCTTTGAACAAATGTATTTCTTTGCATTTTTGTGGCCTTTTTTCAAAAAAATCACCTGCAGTGCAAAAATATGGCCAAAAACAGGGTCTTTTTAGTGCAATTAGTCGGATTTTTTTTTGAAAACTCTCCCCTTTCGAGAAACTGTTTGATTTGTGCCTGATTACACGCATGGATTCTATGAAAAAATGCTCTAACATTACCCGTGCGATAAAGCCAGGTTTTTGCAATCGAGTACTAGACTTCTTAATCAATTAAAATTTTGTAAAATATTTAGCTGATTTTTAAAGTGTTTCTAGAAAAAGTACTGTGTGCCTGGTGGTTTCCCTTTTCTCTGTTTTACTTGCCGCTTTTTCTACAGACTTCAAAATTTTTTGTGGGGGGCAGTTTGACCCATATGTTTAATTTTTTTTTCTAAAATTACCCTGCCAAATCTGCTAATTTGGGTTGAACGGGTAGTGGTAAGCTCTTCTACAAAAATGGCTACGCCAAAATTTTTTCTTCACGAAAAGTTATGGCTCTCGGAAAAACCAAATTTAGATTTTTTGACCTTTTTTGGAAACCTCACTTTTCTCAAAAACTAGCCTGAACTTTCTCAGATTAAGTTTTTAATCAAGAAACCTAGTTGCGGATCAATGCCTTATTTCAAAGCAAAGTTTTATGGCTTTCGTAAAAATCCATTTTTTGAGCTTTTGACTCTTTCTCGAAAATTCTCAGATTAATGATTCACTAAAGTTAGAAAAAAATAGAGTTAGAAAAAAATATGACAGATCACTAGTTTTTTGGATTTTTTTTGGAAAAAACTACCCCTTCATTACTGAGGTTAAAATTTTAATTGAAAAAATTTGATGCAAAAACTTTGCCGCCACCAAACTTTGCTGCCAATAAAAACTTTTTGGTTTTAGCAGAGTTACTAGTATGGACTTTAGAAATTACTTTTACTTTTTTATATTTTTCTTGAAACCAATCTGCTAACTTTGATATTGTGCAGTAGGCTTTCCTCCTAAGGAGGCTGCTAATCACTTGTTTCAGTAGTGACGCAGCCCAAGTTTTGGGTGAAAACCAATTTTTGTAGTTTTGATTTATACGTATTTAAACGTGTTTTTTTTTTCAAGTTCAATTTTTTCCTTTGTAACAAGAAAGCCAACCTCTTCTATCGAACAGCAAGTTGTGAAAGTAATAAAATTGTGATTGATTTCTATTTTTTGATGTGGATTTCAGTATTCAGATTTTGCCACAGCCAACAGACTGTTGGAACAGTTTCAATATTTGAACGAAAACTGACAAAATACTGATTAAAGTTTGGGATTCAAAACAAGGAAGTCTGTGCTTTTTCTGCTCTTTTGGGTTCATTGACCCTGTTCCAACTGTCTGTGGGTTTGCTCAGGATTGATAGGTTTCGGTTCATTAAATTGGCTGAGTTGTCTCAGAATGCGTCGTTTTATGAGTTAGTGAGGTAGAGCACTCAAAAGGATGGCTCAAAAATTATTTTGCGGAAAAAAAATAGATTAACCTAATTGCGGCTAAAAGTGATTCTCGACTCTTGTTTCACATAAAAAATGAAAGGAAAAATGCCAAAAAAAAACAAATTTTTGTGTAACAACTGAATAGAAATTAGGTTTAAACTATCAAACTTTTTTTGAAGCTGATTATTTTGTACGCTTACCACTTCTTTTGAGTTAAAACTAGTTTACGAAAATAACTGAATCAATAACTGCTATGCTGCTGGCATGCTCAGTGTCATGAAAATTCTGATAAAACTATTTTATCTAGGTAATAAATAGGTTGAGTACATTTAAAACTACTTTTCTAACAAATTTCTTGAAAAACGGTTAATTTTTTTTGGATTCGTGGTTTTCGGCCTAATTTCCCGCTGCTCTTTTTCCGTTTTTTTAACAATGGCATTCTTTGCTCTAATACTAATTTTTATCGGCATGCTCTGTGAAATTTTTTAATTTTAGATATTTTGCTATGATTGAAAGTTCTGTAAGTTTGTCATTTTACCAAGTCTGATTTCGAATAACTTTGCTTAAATATATCGAGTGAAATGTTTCGGATTGAGTGGCATCGGCTTTGTCAATTTTTTTGAATAGTTTCAGAGGCCAAAAAATTTCTGTTTGCCAACATCTGGTATTATGAATTTGTATGGAGTTGGGTTGTTTTGAGACGCTTTCGATTTTTTTTCTTTTCTGCAAAACTTTTAGTTCGGTAAAAAAACTACTCATTTTGAACCAAGTTTTCGAATTTTTCTCGTTTTCCAAAAAACTATTCGACCAAATATGAGACTTTGGATTCATTAAATAAAAAATTTTACATAAAGTTTTCTGCATATGCAGCTACACCCATTTGTTATACAACAAGTTATGACCCTCGCAAAAGTCATTTTTTGTTTTTTTTTGACCGCTTTATGAACTTTTTAAATCTTTTCTCAAAAACTGCCGTCCTAAGTTTGAAACTTTGGTTCAATAGACTCCATGTGTTGTTAGACGTTGCGTTTAGAAATCAATTGTATTCAATATTTCGGAACGCAAAAGTTAGGGCACTCGAAAAAGTTTATAATTCGTTTTTGTACCATTTTTTGAAACTATTTAACTTTTCTCGAAAATAACTCTCCCATGCTTTGAGTTTTTGCATTTATTCGAAACAACAGGTTGTGTAAACTTCTTCAGCATGAGCGGTTGTTTCCAAAAAATTTTCAAACACAAAAGATGTGGCCCTCGAAAAACTTAAAACTTGAAAAATTTAATACGGTTTTTGTACCTTTTTTTGAAAATTTTTGAATTTATCCAGAACTACCCACCAATTTTTTAGGTTGAGTTTTCAATCAAGCAAATCTGTATTTGGATATGTTCTTTGCTTAAGCAGTCACGTCGTTTTTCCCGAAAAACTTTATTGCTTAAGCGTCCATGTCCTTCTTTTGCAGAACAATGTTATGGATGTCGAAAATTCAACCTTTTGAACGTTTGACCATTTTCTAGAACTTTTTGGTTTTTTTAAGAAACTACCCTATAAAATCTCGGATGAAAAATTTAATCGAAAGAAACGCTTGCGATGTTTTTTTTCAACAGAAGCGGAGACTCTTCAGTTTTTTGGTAGAGAATTGTGATATCTCGGGGAAGGTTCCTATCTCTCAAAAATGTTCGGTCTCTTAATTATTTATGGAGAGAAACAACTAAGGTTCTAGGCAAAGTCCAATTTTTTAAATTACCCATTTTGTTCCGCATTCGAATAACAAGTTCCAAAAAACGTCAAACATTTATCTCTAGCTTCAGCTGGACCCTAGTTATCTTTTATCGAGTTTTACGAACATTTTGGCTTACCTAGTTTTTGTTTATATTTTTTTTAGTTTTCTTATTTTTATGCAAGTGTTGTATCACAAGTGATGCGAGTCTCCGCATCGCCTTTGTTTTCAAAAAGTTTCACGGCAGTTGTTGGCATTGTTGCTGGGGCATGAGTCTTGCTATGTTCATTAAGCTTCATGAGCTCTCTCAATCGCCGTTCCGATCAAGTTGGAAATCATAACGTGCGAATCTCCGAGAGCGAATCTGCGAGCTGTGGCAGAGAAAAGGACAACTTTTAGAGCTTTGCAAAGTAGATGATATCGGAACTTACTCTTCAATTTCAAAAACACCGTTGTTTTGTTTCCGAATTGGCGAGGAGGGACTGGAACTATGTATTAATAGCTTAATCAGCCCGACAAAATCTTTTCTTAGTGTCTCTTTTTCAAACATCATTTTGAAAAAAAAATCTTGCCAAAAGATAGTTGGAACAGATTGAATGAACGCAAGGAAACAAAAAAACACTGATTTGTTTTTCAAAACAAATTTGAAATTTCGAAATTCAAAAGTCAGTGCTTTTTCTGCTCCGTTGGGTTCATTGACCCTGTTTCAATTGTCTGTGGGTTTTTTCAGGATTGATAAGTTTCGGTTCATTAAATTCGCTCAGTGGTCTCATAATGCGTCGTTTTATGAGTTAGTGAGATAGAACACTCAGAAGGATGACTCAAAAGTTATTTTGCGTGAAAGAATAGATTATTCCGATTAAGGTTAAAAAGTTGATTCTCGACTTTCTTAATTTACAAAAAAAATGATGCCTTAAAGCAATAAAAATAATTTTCATGTACATACTGAATCTAATTTAGGTTTAAACGGTCAAATAGTGTACGAAATTTGATGTTTTTGAAAACAAACTTCACGGCAGCAGTTGGACATATGTTCATAAAGCTTCGTGAGCTCTCCGCAATCGCTGTTTGGATCAAACTGGAAATCGTAGCGTGGAATCTGCGAGAGCCGATCTCATTTGAACTGCGCCTTGACAGACTCGTCTACTGTTTTTCGAGCAGTACATCTGGTACATCTGTTTTTCCAGCTATACTGTGTCCTACATCTCGGTCTCGTCGACTCTTCGGATGCGAAATGACATCCGACTCAGGCGATGACTCAAGATTCACACTCGGGTTGGGACAAATGACCGTCTTCCTTGCGAGCTGGGGAAGAGAGAAAGGACAGCCTTCAATGATTGGCAAAATAGATGACGTGGGAAGGACGCCGATGGATCCTGTGGGTGGTATCATTTGAATGGCAATATCACTTGGGAATATCGCCGGTGTCCTGTGACTAATTTCTCCCGATATGACCTCGAATGTCGCGTGGGTTCGCATTGATGAGTTCTTTGGTGTCAAGAGCTCGGGCGTGGTGTCACCGGATGCATTTATGAGGTTTGAGTTGGAGGCGGAAGAACTCGAGCTTCTACGCTCGTGCTTTTTCATGTGTCGTTTCAAATTATTCTGCTGACCGAAGGCTTTGTTACACACCTGATATGAAAGAAATATGTTATTTGAGAAATAATCATATTTCTCAAAGGGAAAAAAGTTTGAATCAACTCCATAAGCGTGTCGTTGCTTCGATAGTTATAGCAATATGGAACCTGATCTAAACTATATTTTATGATTGGATAAATTAAATGTTTTACCAATGTAAAGTATTTAATATTAACCAATCACGATCCATCTAACTAACAACCCACTTATTTGTAAGTGCTGAAGTTACTTGTAATTTCAGCACCAGAGAGATTTGAATTTAACTTAGAAATTAGTTGGACTCTCCCGAGTACTTCAGCAGCCGCAATAAACCAGTATACCCTAGATCTATTGAGCCTAGCAGAGACTAGTTAAACAACCTGAGACTAGATAGTATAAGAGTAAGATTAGGATCGGTATTAGACTAAGAAGTTGCACGAATCTATCCGGCCGAAAATAAGATAGCGTGACGAGCAGACGGTGTACCCTATCCGAAATTACTCTATGAGTTATACACTCCAGCTCTAACTCATCTGGTGCGACCATAAGTCTCGAACAAGACCTTACTAGATTAGAATTAACCAAAATAGATTAGAAATTAGACGAAAACATTTAAAATGTTATACGACAATAATTTAATTGAAATGTCTCTACGACTCAATAGATCAAAGCCAATATTCCGAACCATAACAGAACTACCCGGAATTGGAAGAAGACCTCGAACCAGAGACGACATACGACAAAGTAGAAACTTGCCGTATAGTTATATGATAGTTCGGCAAAAGCCAGAACAAACTTTTATATTTAGAATACTACTGGCAATGAATTTAGATTTTCATTTGCAAACATAAAACCTTGAAGTTATTCTTCAAAATCATTTCAGGCGCTAAACAAATTTAATAATATACAATAACGATTGATAAAAAGATCTCAGATCGTTTTCTTAAATTCTGCAGTATTATACAAAACATGTTTGAAAAATATTTATTAGAAATAAAAATAAAAATTAGTAGCATGACAATAAATGGTTAGTAATCATAAATCATCCTGTTGTTCCAGCTTCATCACCTAAAACATAACAGCAATCATCAACTCACTAATATCATAAAACACTAAATCTTTCCTTTACACAAATTTAAAATTTTATTAAGACTTAAAATCACTTAATTTTAAAATCAGATCATCAAGGCTTATCCTTGGATCTTAAATCATTTTCTACTTAATTAAATTTCAAACTTGATCATCAAGGCTTATCCTTGGATCAAACAGAACAACTTTGTTCTCCCCCACCCACTTAATTAGTGTCTAACGACCTCAAACGTCGATTCACTATCCAACCCTTTCTAAAAACCCAGGACTAATAGAAATTTTTGAACAAAACTAATCATTCAAATTAGGATAAACAGTGAAGAACTTCGGTTATTCATCCTTCACTTGACCCCCCCTCTTATCAGACCCAGGATAAATTTTAGACTTAGTAAGTTTAAAATAGTATCTAACGAACTACTCGCGTTCTAATTATACCTGAACCTTGTGGATCGATTTACTATTCTCCAACCCTTGAACACAATCACTACCCCTAAGTAAGATTAAGTAAGTTAACACCTTAGCTTATACTAGTCACGAGAAAGTAAAAATCATTCTCCGGAATCGATATACTTTTCTCTCCAACCCTGAACAAAAAGACCCAGGTTAAGCTAACCAAAAAATCGTAAGGACTAACAGTTTAAGCAATTAGAATTCACTTAACAATCATTTGCATCCGTCATCCTAAACCTTATGTCATTTAAAAACCTAGGAAATAAACAAACAATCGTTTTACACAATTGTGAAATAGATAACAAAAAATACGACCTTGTAATCACACCTCATACACAAACAGTTGGATACATTCGCACAAAACGACAAACACTAAAGAGAAAAATAATAACGAAACAAAGACAAATAACACGAAAAAGATTTTCAAAAAATCGAAACGCATTTTCAGAATCAGAAACCAACAGTTTAGACGAACTTTACAAACTAAAAGAATCAATAGATAAAAATTGCCCAATTCACGATCAATTATATTTTTCTGACTCAGAAACAACCTCAAATTCATCACAAAGAGGAAAAAGAAGAATAAAAAAGCAGTACAAACACAAACCAGTACATTTATACAATTGGAATCAACCAATTCGACACATTAATAATTACATATTAACAGTCATCGAACGGAAAAATGAGTTCAACGCACACCCCAGGTGACGAAACTCCAGATGATGATGAAATCTTTCCTTTTATAGTAGATGCAGATACTGATAGAGGACAACACATATTTTGTCAAAATTTACTCGTAAATTTATTTGAACCCGGAATCAGTCCATGCAAAACAGAATTCCCAGATGTAAGAATCAAAAGACAAATCATAGATCACTATCTAAAAGATATATGCAACATAACACAACAGTATGGAATCTACTCTATAGAATTCACTTCCCCAAACCATAATAATAGAACATATACTATTCAAACAGACGATCTTGATTTACAATTTTCAAAAGTTTTTTCAGAATATATAAAAAGCATCCAATACCATAACTCACAAAGAGCAAACTCCATTTTCACAAATGAAGTTTTCGCAATAATATATAGTTATATTTCAATATTAGAAAACGAACTCCCATTAACAAATGTCTCACCGACAGAAACATCTAAACATTTAAGAGTACGACATGAAATCACACTACTCTCTAGTTATTTAAACATTATTAAAGAAAATTTCACGAAAGACGACGTTTCACAACATACAAAACACGATCTACAAAAAATTTTGGCATGGTTCATAATAGATTATTTCACACACAATATTGATTTAATTGCACAAGCAAGAAAAAATTTTAGACCCCAAAATTCGAACGATGATACCGCCATCACCGAACAATCAGATTATGTTTGGGACCCCGAATGGTCTCATCCCGCATTTATAAGCTTTCCACAGTCAATCTCAAGTCAAGCAATAGGTACAATATCTTACATAAGAGATTATGTAAGAGTAATACCCTTAACCATTGATGCAACACCATTAAACTATAATACATTTTTGCCCGATACACAAAATAATAGTTTAAACTCTACAGTCATACACAATGAAAACCTCAATGGAACTAGGAATCTTACTCAACAAGATATCCAGACACCATCACACTTCATAAATGAAGAAATTGTACACACAACAACTACACAACAAAGTATTTCACCAATACGTCCAAACTTAACAACACCAAGAAATACAAATCCTTCACAAACACAGGTAACCTTACAATCAACCGTTAAACCTTCGGTTGCCCCTAAATATTCACATATGGATTACCAAACATACAGACCCATGACAATACCACCAAAAACACGCAAAACATTCACTAGAAACAACTTTGCAGACCATATTTATAATTATACACATCCATCAAAAACAAATTACCAACCACGAAGAAATTTTAACCAGTATACAAGATCTCGAAACTGGGATAACCCAATGACCCAACCTAATTCAATAAATTTCCAAACAAATCCTCCACAGGATCACAGTGAAAATTACCCATTTTTTCAACAAAATAAAAATAAAAAACAGACATCTTATCAAATGGATTATTTATCCTCAGATGATGATTTCTTACAACCAGACATATTTGCACCATATACTCAAGAATATCGTAGACAAGGAATACAGAAAACACGTACAAATCATAGAAATTTTTCTCCACAACCGATAGATGCACAACATCAACAACCAAGTCAACAACAAAATCTAATTAATACACAATCTTTTCAACCAATTCAACAACAAAATCCAATGACTACACACTCGTATCAACCAACACAAATGCAAAATGAAATACCACTCCCATATTATCTTCAACAACATAAAATAACAAGAAACCAACTTTCAAATTTTTCTCAAATGCCAAATGCAGCAGAATCATTACAAATGACAATGAATCCATACCTAATGGGTGGATCATCAATAACATCAAACAAACCTTTAATGGTTTTCACAGGAACAGACCCTGAATACTCTGTAGAAGATTATTTAAATGCAGTAACAGCAAATTTGATTTTAAACATTGGACCTGAACCAATTAACACGCCACTACATCAAAACTGGATACATCGACGCACAGCGTTGATACAAACAACCTTAGATGGCGCAGCCCAAAAATGGTTTTCAGTACTACCTCTAGAAATAAAATCAAACTGGAAAAGATTTACACAAGAATTTTCAAAAATGTTTGACTCCGAAAGAAACAAACAACAACAAAGAGTTTTATGTAATGAAATTCGCAGATTACCAAACGAAACCATCAAGCAATTAGCAGTAAGAATCGAAACACTAGTTCGAAAAGCATATTCACTAAATACACACGATTATAAAAATACAAAGATGACAGAAATCTTAATGATGACCTTAACACCACAGTTAAGAAAAATAGCAATAAAGAAGAGAGCATCCCATCCTTCCTCAATTCGAGAACCCGATTTAGATTTTAGAAAACTAGTAGACAAACTAGAACAAGCAGAAATCACGATGAAACTAGAAGAAACGGAAAATCTAAAATTACAATACGTTAACAGAATTGAAACGACTCCCACTAATATTAATAATATACAAGAATCAGACACAGATCTCGTTGAAAAAATCACTGAAATACTCAATATTTATGAAAAGAACCCAAACTTTAAAGGCAAACCATCTTTCAAAAAATGGTGTAATTATTGCCGACGATACGGACATAGTATTTCCGAATGTAGACAAAAACAGCAAGATAGTCAAAATAAACCTCACAAATACAAAGAACCAAATAAGTCATTCTATCAATATATGAAGAAAGATCAAAATCTACCAAACAAAAATGTATACAGCAACAATAGTTCCGGAAAACCACTTCCGAACAATACAAGTTATACAAGAAATCAATCCCCATATAACTCAAGTTATAGAGGAAGATCACCAGAACGAAGAAACACGCAAAATTCAT